AACACACAGGCATACTGACAGAAAGGCAAAACAAAAATAAAATAGAGTTAGGGTTACCAAGGTAGTGAAAGATTAATCACATTGTCTTTCTGTATACAAAGGTCTGGTCGAAATCTTTTGATAGCAATGGCTTCTGCGAAGCGAAGTAGCCGTGGGTTTCTTTGTGTATTGATTATTTTGAAGGCTTGGGTAAATTCTACTGTGTGTCCTGTGTCAATTAAATGTCTGGCGATTGCACTTGATAACACTTTTCTTCCTTTTGTACAGAGACTCTTAGGAATGTGCTCAGAAAATCTAGTAGATACTATCCTCTCAGTCCTTCCTATGTACTTGCTTCCGCAGGTGCACGTGAATTGGTAAATGCAGTTGGAGTTGACGTGAGTAGGGTACTCATCTACTTTTGACTGGGTTAACAATCTATAACTCCAAGTAATTATGAAAAAGTATGTCCCACAACTTTCTTGAAACCTATAATTTGATTTTGTTTAGGATGTATGCAGTTGATGAGAATCCACGAAATAAAACGAGCTCGTATTATCCTGCAAACATGTTCATTCTTTCTCTCTTCAAACAGAATGCATTTTTAAGTGTTACAGCATGAACCGATATCATTTAAAGGACTGAGAAATTAGAATTCGTGGAAAGTTTGATCTCGCCACAGTGGTTGAGTGGCCAAAGGGCTTGCATCGTATCTTGAAGGTTTGATTTTATGTCGTTATGGTGGGTACATACAGCTCAAGATTCCAATACTAGGATGAAACGACTGTCCAGTACTCCTTGGTTTTCGATAGTTCTCAAACAGATGCCAGGTCGTAGTTTAACCTTAAATAGAATATATATTTCAAATAAATTTACTAACAAAATGTTTGTATTCACAAGGTTAAGTTACCACTGTGATACATTTGTGAGTAAAGAGTTGAACTCTAAGATTATATTCAGTTACCAAAAGGTATATTGGAACTTGCCCAGTGGGTGCGTACTGCCGATGATTCCCAAACTAGGATGAAACAGCAGCTGTCCAGTACTCCCTGGTTTTCAACGGTTCTCTAACTGATATCAGTCCGTGATCAACTCATAAAACATAAATAATCCTTACAAACCAAACTATAGAAAGTAACTTAAACGTAAGAAAATGACTGGTTAATGCTGGCATGTACTAAGTCTGTTTCAGTGACCATACAAAAGCATCATTATTCACTATTTCGAAGGTTAGATTTCGTACTAACTAAACAATTCCAAAAATACAACAAATATATGACTTCACTAGAATCTGTGATGAAGTGAAGGTAGTGCGTTTCAACATATAATCTACTATCTTTAAATTACCATTATTAAAATGTTGTTCATCGAAATGGATGGACTGTCATTTTCAGGTAGGTTTAACTAGGAGAAAGTAAGGTGTTATTTATATAGTAATTTTTCTTGGCAACAAAAGGAATATTTCCAAAGATGTGTTAATGTAAATGTTAATTTTCTGACAACAAACTACGTAATCTAGAAGGCGTTAATCGGTTAGAAACTAAAATAAAGTTACAAAAGTAGGTTGGGTGACGTAATCTAATTGATAGGGTTCAATGAAAAATGAATGAGAGTCAAGTTAATAATCTGAGTAGAATTCACTTAAAAATAAACGAAAATGGAGTTAGCAACAGTCGTCATGAGGGTAGAGATTAATACCCTTCCTAACTTGCCATATGCCGATTTTACTCCTATCCAATTTTTCATTTCAAATTTTCAGAAACGCGTTAGGGAAATATGATTATCAGACAAGAATTCACTTTACTAAATTTGAGCAATAAAAGAACAAACATTGGTGCAGAATAATAAGAATCCATTTTATTTCCCCTGCCCCCATCAGCTGCACACAACCTATAATCCTGAATCTCCATTATGGATAAGATTTTATTTTGATAAATCACACAATGTTGTCCATGTGTGTATTTAAATGAAGGAAAGAAGTTGTATGAGTAACTTGATATGATTATGAGCAATAGTTTATGCTCGAAACGTCATCTTTTAATATTTCTGTACAACACTGTGTGATTTATCAAAATAAAATCTTATCCATAATGGAGTTATGCTCTACCACAGTGCCCAAGTTTTACACTTATATCTATAATGCTGAATATCTAAAAGTCAGATTAAAATTTAACATAATTTTGTCATGAACAAGCACATCATAAGAGTGTCATGGTGAGATAAAACCTCAGGACGGAAAGGTAGCTGAAGTATATATATATATATTGTCAGAGAGGAGTTTCTAGAAAACTTATTGACAAGTTTGTTGTTAGAGTGGTAACAAACTAGTAACAATTACATAGCTAGATAAGAGAAGATAAAAATTTGTTGTGTAAGAGGTCAGATGAAAAGGTGATGATGCGATATGGTGAGTGGAACTCAGGTCAAGCAAAATTATTCCCAGTGAAAGTCAAATAGAAGAAACGAGGCGAGATAGGGCCATAGAAAAGATAAGTTGATGGAGTTTGAAGACCAAGAGTTATTAACAGATGAGTCACTATGGTAATTGAAGTCCAGCGACGGATTCCTTTGGGACACATAGGTCAGATCTCTGCCGTTTTATTGCGATAGCCTCAGCAAACAGAAGAAGATTTGGTGAAGTCTAAGATCAACAAGTACCCCTCATATGTTATCTCCAACTGTAAGTACCAATTCACATGTAACTTTGGGAGCAGTTACATTGGAAGAACACAAAGGGCCTACGCCAGATAATTCAAACATATACTTTAGAGCTTCCGGTTAAAGGGGACAAGTAATTTAAATTCTTCTATTGCAAAACAGCTTATAGACACTGGATATCGAGTAGACGCGCTGTCATCGTTCAAAATAATTATAGACAAGACAGCTCATTTGTAGGAGGGCTGGAATCAGGGTGGCGTTTAATCTGACTAAATCACTCGGTGGCAAACTTGGTCGCTTCAAGGATCTAATAAATCCATTTGAGAAAAATAATATAATTTACCAAATACCATGTAATGACTGCGAGCTCAGTTACATAGACCACTGTAAATAGACTGCAATCATTTGGATTATAAGAACAGAAGAATTCAGCTTGATCTGGAATGACTGACCCATCACAGCGAAGTAATCTGAAGGAATTCTCAGTTATCATAATAGATTCACTTGGATGTCGCCTCACGACAGAGTGAGAAAGGGTGGAAATAATTAAAAACAATCAATATCATCGGTTGGAGAAAGAGAGGTTAATTACTGAACGTTTGTACACTAAGTAACCACCAAATACATTTGACAGAAATGATGCAACAGCTGTCTCAGTAAAATAGAAAAATACATCGAAAAGAAGTGGAATTAAAAGAGGTTATAAGACAGGTTAGACAGTTGTGCACATGAATACACTGATAAAACTGTGAGCAATAAAATGTGGTTATAGTGTCATCCAGTTATTGACAATGAACTACGATGCACTTTATCAAGCAAACTCATTTAATTTTTTTTATTCCTTTACGTTCCCAGTGGAACATAGGGATTCAAGCTAGAGGCTTATAGTTTCTGTAGCAGTGGTATTTATTTTTACAGGATGGGGTTGCCAGCCTCATGCCCAACCTTCCCCTTTACCAGTCTTATTTCTGGATTAGCAAGGCAAACGGAGTGTGTCGGCTGGGGATCGAATCACGGAACACATGCGTGTTCGGCGAATTTTCTACCGCTGTGCCACCGACACATATTTAATATGGATACTGACTAAACAATCTACCAAACCAGGTGTCTGTTATGTTATATACTCAACAGTTCACATTCATCGATTAATGTAGAACCCGGTCCACTCTTGTACTGAAAATTTGGGCTGTAACCGTGTTTATTCACATTCTAAACCTAAGTTAGAAATTTTTGATCGCTAGGTCAAGGTTTTGAGTCCCAGCGGGGTCATTTATGCTCAGTTCTAGGAAAAAGCAGTTCTTCAGTATTGTATAATTATTTCTTATGATTTTCCCACTGATGCTAGTTAGCCTGTGATATAACTTCAAAGCGATCCATTCCCTGTAAAAACCAGCACTTGTAAAGTGAAATGAAAAGAAACATTTTTTTCAGTTTTCAGCATAATTTTTTTGTTCTTATCTTTTATAACGCATATTTAAAATTGAAATCAAAAGTTACATATTTTCGTGTTTTGCATTTTTTTTTAAAGTACAGGAGAAAAGAAAATGGTATAAACAAGATGTATACATATAGGTATATGTATTTCGTGTTATGTTATCAAGCTTTTAACATTCCATAAGAATAAATAAAAGCATTGCATAATCATAATGGCTGATAGTTTAAAACCAATAAAATTCGCGGTATCTTTAATTTTTTGAGTAGTATCAATAAAAGAAGATGTCATAACGAAAACTGTATTCAAATTGACAATGTTAAACTTTAATTTTAATTGGTAAACAATTAAGTGACTATGGAATAATAGTAGTAGTAGTAATAATAATAATAGTAATTTTAAACGAAATTATATCCGCCAATTTTAAATAACAAAGACTCGAAAAATGGTGAATTAAAATGAGTAATAGCTGTTGTTTCCATTAATAGTTTTTTTCTCTGCCTACGTCTCATTTTAAGTAGATTGAATATTGTGGAAAGCACTTTGTGTCTCTGCATTGTTATTTAGAAAGGTTTGTTTTCTTTTTATACGCGTATTTAGTTGTATATATATATATCACACCTGTGCATTAACAAATGTAATCAGAAGATGGGGAACAGACTAGACTGGATTGGAGGAGGAGGCCTTCAAAGACTCCTTTTTGATTTTGGAGAATAATAACGGAAAATGTTTGGATGAAAAGAAGAATCGGATGGAAAATTTTGAAAAAAAAAACACAATTATCAATAGCTGTATCACCCTTATTTCCATTATGGAACAGTGTATCCAACAATTAGTGTTTGTCAGTTTAAGGATTTATTTTTGTGAACATTTCTGTGAATAAATCGCGTTGATATACATGTATGCATATATATATATAATGTATGAAATGTCAATCTGATAACTTTGTCACCTCTAGAATATCTTTTAACCATGCATATGAAGTCTGATCACTATCGAATAGTCTTTGAAGCGGTTGAATTAAATGATTACGTGTCATTTCGTGGATAATATCTTTTTGTTGAAATACTTTTGAAAAATATGTTGAATCATTGCGTATTAATGATGTGGTTGTATGCGTTGAATTATCATTATTAGATATTGGATATTTATTAATTCTTTTATTTGGGTGGTGTGAATTATTACTGTGACTTGTGTTACTAACATTATTATTAATATTAGTAGTAGAAGTAGTATTACTATTACTATTATTATTATTATTAGTAGTAGTATTGTTGTTATTAGCGTCGACAAGTGAAGAATTCTGTGATGATGTCGATGTTAAGTGAACATGATGGTTCGATGAACAGCAGTGACTTTTCAACATTTCAACAAATCGATGATGGAGTGAATAAACTTCACTGGAATTCGATAGTGGTGTACGATCTAAAGAGAAAATACAGTGCAAATTTATTGAATATTACATAATCATGAATTCTGGAAAAATAAAAACTGGTTTCAGAAATATCAAACTACCAAAGAAAGGAGACCTAAGTCAATGCAAGAACTGGCGCGGAATTATGCTCCTGTCCATCCCAAGCAAAATACTAAGCCGCAATATCCTGGAGAGAATCAAACATGCCCTAGATGAAAAACTCCGACCGGAACAGGCTGGATTCAGCAGAAACAAGTCATGCATCGACCAGATCGCCACATTACGGATCATCATTGAACAGAGCTTGGAATGGCAGTCACCTCTCTATCTCAACTTCATCGACTTTGAAAAGGCCTTCGACAACGTCGATCGAGAGGTGCTTTGACAACTACTTCGCTACTGCGGAGTGCCACTGACAATTATACATCTCATCCAACAGCTGCACGACAATGCTGCATGCCAAGTAATCCACAACGGGAAACTTACGGAATCCTTCTAAGAGTAAGACAAGCTGGCTGCCTACTATCGCCAATGATTTTCCTGATTGCAGTAAACTGGATTATGCGATGAGGAAAAAGGCATAAAATGAACTCACATAAAAACTTGGAGGATCTGGACTTCGTCGATGATATATGTCTGATTTCCCAAAAACTGGAAAATATGCAAGCGAAAAGCAACAAGTTGGCAGAAGAAGCACCAAAGATAGGACTTCAGGTGAACATACAGAAAACAGAGGTGATGAAGATTCCTGGGAAACACCACCAATAGCAACAACAACAACAGACAACAATCAGCATAAATGGGAGGAACCTGAAAGAAACAACCTCCTTTACCCACCTTCCTACCTGCGAAGCATCGTTTCAACTACACGCTGATGGGAATGACGAGGATATCATAGCAAGAATCGGAAAGCAAGACAAGCTTTCAATACTATCAAGTCTGTGTGGAGGTCAACAGCACTCAGCATCAAAAATAAGATCCGGATTTTCAACTCCAATGTGAAGTCAGTCAGTGCTACTCACCATACGGATCAGAGACTTGCACTGCTAGTCATAAAGAGCATCTCAAACAAACTACAGACCTTCATTAACAGTTGTCTTCGCTCAATACTACTCAAGATCAGATGGCTAGTCAGAAAAGATCAGCAACAGATCGCTTACAATGAGCGAACCAACTCAGTAGGAACCGATTGTAAAACAAATAGGCAGGAAGAAATGGAGATGGATTGGCTGGCCATACACTGAGGAAACAATCCATCAAGTGACATCACTAGACAAGCCATTGCTCGAGTGGAACTTGAAAGGGAAGCGGCGAGTTGGTCGTCAGTGCAAGGAAGACTTGGAGGAGGTCATGTGAAGACGAGATGAAAACGTGTGGGCAGAGAACCGAACGCAATGGAGACGCACAGCTGAAGCCCTATGTTCCTCTGGGAATGAAAGGAAACAATAATAATAATTCCATCTATACTGAATGACGTTTCAACATAGAACTTTGCGAAAAATGGGCGATAGCTGAAGCTCTTACACTTCATAAAAGCATTCACAAAGAGGATACAAAACTATAATAAATGGATAAATGCAGAAGAAAGAATAAATAAATAAGGAGTGATGGGGTGGTGGTGAATTGAAAAAATTACAAAGACTAAATGCAGCATGTGCACCATTGAGGATGATTTCGGGTTATGCAACCAACATCCTCCGGTCATTGGTTATTAATATCTCAGCAATACAATTCAAGCATTCTATTCTTCAAGGCAACAGTTAGAAACTGCATGGATTGGTGTAATATTTTATTATGACAAGCCGTAAATTTTTTCCAATCGAATTGTAATTTAGTTTTCATAACCCACAGAGAAAGGAAGTGAGTTAGCATACGCAACACATGCTCTAGTCATCCTAATCAATAGATCTTTGCTACCTTATCAACTGAATTACTCTACATATTTAATGCTCTTCATCTAGTCTCATTATTACTGACCACATTTTGCTACCGAAAACATGAAATTGAAGGCAGAAACCAAAGGTCTTCCAATTCCAACGGTTATGACTAATGGTCTTAGAGTGTGTGTGAACTGCACGGATCATACATCTCCTTTGCTGGGTAAACGCATGCTATCCGGGAGCAGAAGGTGACAGAAGTTGGAAAATGCTATAGGGGCCTTTTGTATACGTGCTTAAATTCGGTCATCAACTGTTCTGTTGTGGCTGATGCAACATCCCGAGTAGGTAGAGGGGTCGACCCATTCAACTTTTCCACTATTTATCATTAAAATATGAATCAGTATAGAGTAGTCCTGTAGCATCATCTTATATTCGTCATGAGCGGGTCTTATTCCAGTTATACCTGGATTTCTGCCCAAAGTGTTCAAAAGTCTCTTGATTTCATCGAAGATCACATCACCTACGTACTGTCCATCAGTGAGACAGTTCCTTGTTAACAAGTCAATGCCTGAGCCGTCGAAGTCGACCATAGTCACCTACACTCATACTATTTAATTAAATTAAAATGGTGACATAAGGCATCCCTGACTAGCCATATTGATTATCATTATTTCAGATAACGATCCTCCATAACCTCTTGAGTAGTTGAATGTGTTAGATTAGATAGCATCCAATAAGGCTGCACACATTTCTGGATGGAATGAAATACGGCCTTCAATTCAAGAAATATGGCAAGTTCCGAATGCCAGCATAAAACATGCAAATATGACGCATGTATCCTAATACTGGTCTAGAATTCACCCGCTTTTAACGATTGTGATTATAAATAACCTAAAGACTTCAGTATCTAGAATTTTTGATAATATGTTAATCAAGTTCATTCTCCCTGCTGTGGTTGTTAGAGAAAGACTTATTTCCCCTCTTATAAATTGATATGATCAAGATTCAACACCAGTTCGGCGAAATCACTTCTTATTGCCATTCGCTGACTAATATTATAGTTAGTTTCGTGAACAGTTCATTTGTTTGTGGATCATTTTAAAGAAATTACTGTCCAGGAAAAATGTCTGACAGATTATAAACCAGCGAGTTTGTGAAGGATATTGTATATGTTGAAGGAATATCAGATTTGATGGTAGAATGTTCATCAGCCAAGTCGGAGGACTGAGTTCAATTCCTGACCTGCTTATTCCTGAACCCTGCCCAGTTCACGAGACGGAGTAGCCAAAAAAGGCGAACGTTTGTGAATATTGCTAGTTACCTCACCCCATAAAAAGGAAATCTGTGTTACAGAGAGTCAAAAGTTGAAGTGATATGCTCTACTAGGAACACAAGGAATAAAAAATTAATTAGGGAGCATCTGTTATCAATGAAATCAATCTTCTTCGTAACCCCGAAGCCTCAGCACCAAGATATCCGAGAGCTTTATACCAGAGAGTGATATCTGAGTGAAATATCCCGAAGTATCTGATGACCAGTTTAGTGCTACATTAATTCATACGACACACATATAAGTTTTGAACTGTAATCCAGTAGCAATTTAGTCGCAAACATCTCTGAGGTGAAAGTCATCATTTCTTTTGGTTAGTATGGACCCGATGTGATAAAAACATTACTGTTGTTTATAACAGTTATTCTTTATATTCAAAATGTGTTTTTATTTGCTTGACAGTGATATAAAATCCGGATTTCCTACAATAATATAGAAGGAAACCTTGACATTGTAGATGCTTTCTAACATAAGCCTTAATATTTTGTGTATTATATATACGCAAACACAATATAAACAAATATTTAACAGCTTTGTTCAGCGGTGATTTGATTATGCCGTACGCCGGGTAATTCACAGCAGAAAACTTATTGAAGTACTTGGAATAAACATGGGAGTAGGACAAGACTGCTTGCGGCAACAAGTGATCTCCTTAATTGTAGTGGACTGGATCATCCAGTAGACGGTGGAGTGTGAAATGAAGGCCACATCAAAAAATGAGACTAGAAGATCTGGATTTTAATGATGATTTGTGCCTCATGTCACACTACCTCAGTGGTGAACAAGCAAAAAAACATAGACGATACAAATGAGGATTAAAACCAGCTTGGATAGGAAAAGCAAACCACGGTTGATCATTACTCTGAAATTAATATGGAGATCCACAACACTCAGCACAACTAACATGATACTAATTTTGAGCACTAATATCGAGTAAGTCAGTGCTTTCGTAATCACCAGAGACTTGGCGCTTCACTTGGAGCATTTCCAACAGCCTGTTGAAGACTTACATCAGCAGCTAGTTGCCTTCACTGGACAATGTAGATCGGATGGCCGGTCAGAAAGGATGAGTAAGTGATGGAGAAGTCTGAAGGTACAGAGAACCAGCCAGCGACCTTCTGCTCAACAAATAAACAGAAGACAGTGGAAGTGGAACCTGAATAGGAAGTGATGAGTTAGTCTTGACTTTGAGGGTGACATATAGAATGTCAAGTGGAAAGCAACTAATGGAATGAATAATAATATTAATAAGTAATTAAGTGGCATGCATTTAAACTGATTATTGTGGAGCAGTAAGCCAGAAGAGAAAAACAACTTTATATAATGCAGTAAATAAACAATACCACTTACAGTTTATTGACTTATAATTAACTAGTATTAATGCAGCTAAACCCCAGATTGCATTGTAATCATCTTGAACTAGAGCTCTTAGCTGAATTCCAGTCTCATGGATTTGATTCGCCCAATCACCAAAACCTGACTTTATTACCTCTGTATAAGTCATAGATTTACTATTTTCAAAGATAAAGGTTATTTCATTATTTCTGTAATGATAAGACTGTTGCTGCTGATGTTGACGATGGTAATTATTACTATTTCTATTCAACAAATAATTTGTTTTTTGAAAGTCTGAGTACTGTGATTTCTCCGGTTGACTCCAGTTGTGCACATAAACATGTTGCTCGTATTTTGATGATGTATTTGACAGCATAGGTGTTGACGCTGTTGTTGTTAATGTTGTTTTTGTTGACGATGTTGTCGCCATTCCTTTCATCATCATGACTGCAGAGGGGGAGATTTGATGGAGTTTTTCTGTTACACAGTTTTCCTGAAACATTTCATTTGATTTTGTACAAATATCGGAATGATTTCGTAGATGAGATGTCAGTGTTTGGTGGGTTTTTACACTACTACTCGCGTTTGATTCCACTGCACACCTGTTAGGTAAATAAATCAGAATACAAGGGAGATTATTTAGCGTTTATAAGATTGAAAGCAATTGCGAAAAGTGATTTATTGTGGGGTATCAAAAATTAGCAGTTGTCAAGCGTTCAATTTTTAATAAGCCCTCTAAACCAATTCTCAGACATGATCACAATTAAAAAGTAGAATTTACGCCTTTTGAGTCAACGCAAAAACTGGCGCGAAATTATGCTCCTGTCCATCCCAAGCAAAATACTAAGCCGCATCATCCTGGAGAGAATCAAACATGCCAACCTGGATGAAAAACTTCGACCGGAATAGGCTGGATTCAGGAGGAGCAAGCCATGCATTGATCAGATTGCCACATTACGGATCATCATTGAACAAAGCTTGGAATGGTAGTCATCTCTCTATCTCAACTTCATCGACTTTGAAAAGGCCTTCGACAGCGTTGATCGAGAGGTGATTTGGAAACTACTTTGCTACTATGAGGTGCCACCAACAATTATACATCTCATCCAACAGCTGTACGACAATGCTGCATGCCAATTCATCCACAACGGGAAACTTACGGAATCCTTCGAAGTGAGGACAGGAGTAAGACAAGCTGGCTGCCTACTATCGCCAATGATTTTCCTGATTGCAGTAAATTGGATAGTGCGACAAAAAGCTGACAATGAGGAAACAGGCATAAAATGGACTAACACAAAAATCTTGGAGAATCTGGACTTCGCCGATGACATATGTCTGATTTACCACAAACTGGAAGATATGCAAGCGAAAAGCAGCAAGTTGGCAGAAGAAGCATCCAGAGAAGATAGGACTTTAGGTGAACACAGAGAAAACAGAAGTGATGAAGATTCCTGGGCAACACCATCAACAGCAACAACAAAAACAGACAACAATCAGCATAAATGGAAGGAATCTGAAAGAAACAACCTCTTTTACCTACCTACCTGGGAAGCATCGTTTCAACTACAGGCAGACGGAACTGACGAGGATATCAAAGCAAGAATCGGAAAAGCAAGACAAGCTTTCACTACTCTCAAGTCTGTGTGGAGGTCAACAGCACTCAGCATCAAAAATAACATCCGGATTTTCAACTCCAATGTGAAGTCAGTGCTACTTAACATACGGATCAGAGACTTGCACTGCGCGTCATAAAGAGCATCTCAAACAAACTACAGACCTTCATTAACAGTTGTCTTCGCTCAATACCACTCAAGATCAGATGGCCATCCAGAAAAGATCAGCAACAGAGATCTCTGGCAATGAGCGAACCAACACAGCAGGAACCGATTGTGAAACAAATAGGCGGGAAGAGATGGAGATGGATTGGCTGGCCATACTCTGAGGAAACCATCAAGTGATATCACTAGACAAGCCATTGCTGGAGTGGAACCCGAAAGGGAAGTGGCGAGTTGGTCATCAGTGCTAAGGTGAGGTGACTTGGAGGAGGTGATGTGAAGAGGAGATGAAAACGTGTGGGCAGACATGGAGCCAGGTGAAGACTCTATCAGAGAACCGAACGCAATGGAGACGCATGGCTGAAGCCCTATGTTCCTCTAGGAATTAAAGGAAACAATAATAAAAACGCCTTTTGATAGAATGTAGTCTCATACTCAGTAAGTTTATCCGACATGACAGACAGTATCAATAACTGAATGACGTTTTGAGAATAATTTACTTGCTCATAATCAAACCACTTTATTAATTCACATAACTCGCTAACTTGATTTATATAGCCATCCTTCCCGCTGCTTTTACTACAGTTTTCCATATATCTGGCATATGTGTTACATCATTTCGGTTGTATTTTTCTAGTGTTGAGTCAGCTGAGAAAGATTCAGTCACTGATCTCTCTCTCTCTCTCTCAATAGAAAATAACAGGGATTAGGGCTATGTAAAGCAAGTTATCAAGTGGTGTGAATGAAAACCTTTAAATGGTTATGAGCAACAAATTGTGCTGGAAACATCTTCAAGTGGTTGATTTCTATCAATCAACAACTGATAAGCATGTTTTTTTTCCAAAAAACCAATGAGGCGAAGGATAAGCTAATAAGTCTGGTCACTTCACTGTGCATTTATAAATGTAACTGTTTTTGTGGAGAACGTCACATAGGTAGAACGACTCGGAAAGCCCACTATCGGCTTCTTCAGCAGTTTCCAATGCATTCAGCCAAAGGAGTAATAAGAACAATCAGGAGTTCAATATTGGCCTACCTTGTGGGTATGTATCACAAGATTGATAAAAATTCAGCCTTTAACACTCATTCTATCCAAGATGCCACCTTAATTCTCCAAACTTGTGTACGCCTTCGATTGTTAAGTGTACCTGAGACAGTTGCCATAATCAGTTTTCAATCCAGTCTGTGTATTCGGGGAAAGTTTGTTCAATCCCTCTCCCTCCCATGGTCTTCACAGCCAAACTACCATAGTTCTGGCCCGGTGACAGTGGATAACCGTAAATATAATTCTTAATTTTATTTGCACTACTAACTTCACTATCAGTATGATACTGTTCTATGGTTAAAAGCTTTAATCTTGGTTTGTAATTCATGATTATTATCATTATTATTCTACTTGATTCTATTGATTCACATAATTTCAGATGTCTATGACAGATATTTTACTATGTAACTGAGAAGCCTGATGAGAATTTACAGAGGATACGCATGTGCTTGCTCGAATCACGTTCCGAAATTATCTTAATGGTGACATTTGAATTATTCAAACCACCATATGTTAGTAATTTTTAAGCAAAATTCCTGAGAGAACCAATAGAGAAATCATACTTTTTCATTTCTTTCAATCCCTAGTGGAACAAGATTCAAACTTCGATGTTTTAGTAGTGGTGGCTTTGTTTGAATGGACGGAGTTACTAGACACACTCAACGTTTTTATCTTCTTCTAGATCAATCGTAAACTGGTAAATTGGCATAGGAGTGAGTCGGCCAGGAATCAAACTTGAACCTCCTACACGGCTGGCGAGCATACTACGACTAAATCACTGAAGCAAGCGGATTTTGAAACCAGGAGCCGAGCCCATTGACTGACGAGCCATTGGATCAGTCACCACATTGCGAAAAGGAGTAATACCTTCACAGAGAAACTGCATAATCAACCCCTGGACTATCGCAACATATTATAGTTTGAAGTAATTTGAAACTTATAAATACTATCTTTATTTTTATGCCTATGCAATATACTATTTACAAGTAGGCAAAACTGCTTACACAAAAATTTCAAACCTGGTTGGTATTGCCAGCATCAGAAAAATGGTGAGCATTTATTTAACACAATTATTCCTTTTGATAAATTTGAATAAGGCATTTGAAAGAAAAATTTCTCGAGATGGTATCATTTCGTAGTTTCTTTACAACCGCTTTGCAACTAGCATGGTTCACAATAATAATAAAATAAAATGCACGACAGTTACCCAGTTATATAAAACAAAAGTATATACTAATGACCAGTCATATTTAAGTAGTCTATGTTAGGAGAAGGATAAAGTCTGTTGTTTTTTGTACACATCACCTCGCGAAATTTGTCTTTTAAATGCCTTATTCAAAAGTATTTGTTTATTGAAAATTTACTGCTTCATCAAACCTCAGGTTATTTTGGTTTTTGAAAATGGCATATGAAGCAAGATTTTCAGGGAACAAAAGTCTCATGGACTTCTCTAGTCACGACTTCTCACTTAAACTCCATGTGCTCCATTGCGTAATGAATCCGTCTTTAACAGAAGTTAAACTGCCTAGGTCATTGGTTTTTGTCTCAACTGCTGAAGGATCGATGGGATTCATCTCGCGACCTGAGAATTCTGAGTTCAACTCCTAACGAGGTCATTCGCGCCAGCTGCTGAGAAGTACAAAATACGACCGAAACCCTTCTGATGTAGACTACTGATGAAGTCTATGTTGAAATTATAGGGTTTCTTGTCAATAATATTTGCATAAGTCACAGTAACAAAGGCAAAATAATACTGACGACATTTGTAATCATTCGTACCAAATTGTATTCATAGTTATATGGAAGATTTAAGAAATAAGAGTATAAAAGGATAATAAAAACATACACAAGGCACTGGGTGTAATAACTGCAAATAATGCATGACTTAAATTTGAAAAAGTTAATATACAAGATAAGAATATTACAAGGCATAGAATGAATGTTGTTGGTTAGACGCCTCACGAATAGAGCAAGAAGGATCTGTAAAGATGAGTCTCTAGAAAATGAATTAAGATACTTCTAGAATACGCTACTCCAAATGGGTTATCCTAGTAGATTTGTAAGGAGACACATGAATACCAAGTATAATAAAGAGAAACTGACAACAGTTGAAAAAGCAACAACCGTTCCTAAAATTGAAATTTAACGGGGACGTGGCTAGTGAAGTTCTACACCTAAGATTATCGAGAGCAATAAAACGGACTGATACTGCCGTCACCCTTTGTTTGTCAGTTTCCAGACGACCGCTTCTGATTGCTCAAGAGAAAGACAAGCTGCCTAGCTGTGATACATCTTTGTATATCTAAAAATTTAGCCGCTTCTGCAGGCGAACAACTAGATAGCTCAACAAACGTATTACTGAGCATATTCCTTCATGGTTCGGAAAAGGCCAAATAAAATCCATAAGAATTCCTGTTTTGACTCATTTAATTGATAGCGGTCATCAGGTGGACAGAGGAAGAAGTGCCTTCAAAGTTATCTATCGCATTCCATCGAAGCTTTCTAAAGGAATTGGATCCCGGCTTTCACACATAAGCGAAGCTATGGGAATTCGAGAGAACAATCCTAGTCTTTGCATACAAAAGAAGTTTGTTTTACCTTTGTCTCTCCCTTGGTCTCGGTGAATTCTAATCAAAACCCTCCCAACCTTTCTTATATTCCATTTCCTTTGCACTTTGACAATATTTATTTAAATTCTGATTATCTGTCCACTTCACCTTTAGTATTACGTAGCATTCAAGATTTGACCTTATTTATTTATTGAATTGTCTACATATACACA